GACTTAGTAAGATTATGCAGTGACAGTCAATAGCAGGGTGCGATTAAGCTCTGTCCTGGCTCTTAGCCTAGTGTGTGTTTGTCTCTGGTCGTGCAGTTATAGAATAGGGCAGGTGGTACATTTATATATGCCTTTGATTTCCCAGAAGTTGACGAGTTTTCCTAAGCAGAGAATTTTAGAGCTAGATAGCATTGTTGTGGGAGAGAGGGCAGGGAATGGAGAGGTAATTCTTCACTGTTCTTTGGTGCAGTTGAATTTACATGTGGCTGTAACTGATTTTCCAGGGGATTACGATGGTGTTGAGTTTAGAAGACTGGTTGGGTTTTAGCACTTCAGAATTGGATCTCTTGCTGGAACCCTTGCTAAGAGGAAGTGGACTTGTGTTTGGTACAGTGACAGAAAAATCATTGTACTATTAAATCCTGGTTCTTTAATTTGAGGAAAACATGGGAAGGTAAAGGAAGATTAGATTCAGATGAAATCTTTTTTTTTTTTTTACTTTTTGTTTTTTAGAGACAGGGTGTTGCTCTGTCACATAGGCTGGAGTACAGAGGCACGATCATAGCTCACGGTAGCCCCAAACTCCTGAGCTCAAGTGATCCTTCTGCCTCAGCCTCACGAGTATCTGGGGCTATAGAGTTGCACCACCATACCTGGCTTTTTTTGGAGGGGTGGGGTAGAGACGGGTCTTGCTATGTTGCCTAGGCTGATTGTGAACTCCTGGCCTGAAATGATTCTCCTGCCTTGGCCTCCCAAAGTGCTGGGATTACAGGCATGAGCCACTGCTTCTAGCTGACAAATTTTTTTAAAAGATAGAGGATTATTAAAAGACCAAAAGCAGCTCTATTTGCTTTTCTTATTGGTGGAAATGTGTTTTGTTCGGTTACAAATGAATTATTTTGATAAAAAATATAAATTATGCAAGTTCAGTATTTATTTTAGAAAAATATATAAAATCATAGCCCAAGAAAAATTTTGAATTACACTCTTATTTCAGCTTTGGAAAAATGATACCTACTTAACTAGTGCCAGTCTGTTGCTAGTCATAAAATCTGACTAGCATGTAGTACATGTCATAAAAGATTGTCTAGTAAATAATGAGTTCATTGTCAGACTGCTTTTATTGGTGACATATTTAAGAAAGATAAAGCAAGGTAATGTCCAGATATTGAAACATATTAGTGACTGTAGACCAGAACTTTTGAAACTTTTAAAAAGGAAACTATTGTTTTATTAAAAATTACTATTTTTTAAGTGAAACTGTTTATTTAACCTTTAAATCATTTAAAAAATGTTGTTTTAAGAATATGAGTGCTGCATTTCTGCATTCTGGTGGTAGTGGTTTTGCTTGGTTTTTATAGTATTCTACATTAAGAATTATTGGGGTAGAAATGATATTTTTGGATTTCTTATACCTACAGACAGAAATAGTTAATTATTTGAGAATACCAGATTAAAAATGAATTACCTTAATTCTTTACATTATTTAAAATGTAAATATATGGTTGAGATATGTATATAACTATTCTACTCACAATGTGATATGCTTTTCTAGTTTTTGAAAACTGAAAAATAATACATGTACATTGAAAATAACAATATTTCAGGTAATACTAAATACTATGCAATGAATAGTAAGCCTCCCTCCCACGTAAGAGCCTGCGTAGTCTCGTATTCAGAGGCAACTACTTAAATAAACAGTTTCACAGTACAGTCTGGTAACTGAAACACATATTTCTTGTCAGAATAACATTGTTCTTAAAAATTTGTTCTATTTGTCATTGTGTTCTTTTTGTTGTTTTTATGTTTAACTTTTTATTTAAATGCTTTTGGGGATAGTTAAATGTTCTTTTAGTAGAGTGGGATATTATTTGTAGCTCTAGGATTGTGTCTTATCATAAAAACTATAGTATATGTGCATTTTTATTATGAAAACATGGTATTATTAATGGTACTGCCAGACTGGGTGATTAGAAAGAAGGTAGTTAAGTCTACAGTGTTGTTGATTGGTTCTTTAATGGAGAATAAGGGTGTCTCTTTGCATTACAGCTGTGTTTTCTTAATAGAAGGCAAACATCATGCCAGAGATAAAAATCCTTTCCAGGTTTAGAGTTAGAAAATGAAACTCACATGGACTTTTAAAATAATTATGGGGAAAAGTTATTTTGTGATAGGTATCACATACTAAACTCACAAATCTCCCCTATGCTGTTGGCTCCGTGAAAGAAATTCAAATCTTAACGATATTCTGGTTATTAGCTTTTCAGAGAAATTTGGCCATACAGTTGGGTGCCAGGAACAGTGTACTTAAAAACAGACTACTGTCAAGAGAGGGGAAAACCAAGTCTTATTTAAAAAAAAATAAGACTGGAGGATTATTTTGAACCTGATGTTTAGGTGAGCAATTGCAGTTAATTCCATTTCATATCTGGAAAAGGCCATCTCTTAAATTCATATTCATTTTCCCTTAAATAATTGATATCCAGAAGTATATAGAGTATATGCTTTTTATAATTAAAAAAAGGTAAAGGAGAGAATTATACAAGAATCTTAGTTTAGGTTTATTTAGTTTCCTTTTGTAAGACTTATTTTTCTTTTGTACTTTTTTACTGATACTTTTGTAAGATTTACTAATCTTTGAAGTTATCATCTCCCACTTACTAAAAAACATTGTTACTCCCCTTGCTGTATTATAGCTGGCAGGCCTTGTTAGAATGTGGGAGACACTATTCATTCACTTGAAATAAGATTTTCCATATTTCCAAAAGTAGCAAAATTTATAAATCTTATTCCCTTTGCTTCTGCCACCTATATTATTTTTCTTTGCTTGAACTGTCTGGAGGTCTTGGAGGGAAGTTTGAGCTGCTTCTTGTATTGCAGCACCTGAAGTATTTTCTTTCTTACCCAGAGGGAGCATGCATCTGCTGGCTACTAAAATGGCAAATCTTCTGCTTTGAGACCATTTTATTATAGTTATGTGAACCCATTTGTGTCTCATTTCCCATCTAATTTAAAAATAAAATCATGATACCTTTTATAAACATATCAAAATTTATAAATATTATTCCCTTTGCTTCTGCCACCTATATTATTTTTCTTTGCTTGAACTGTCTGGAGGTCTTGGAGGGAAGTTTGAGCTGTTTCTTGTATTGCAGCACCTGAAGTATTTTCCTTCTTACCCAGAGGGAGCATGCATCTGCTGGCTACTAAAATGGCAAATCTTCTGCTTTGAGACCATTTTATTGTAGTTATGTGAACCCATTTGTGTCTCATTTCCCATCTAATTTAAAAATAAAATCATGATA